GTTTGTGATCGATGGTAAAATAGAGAAAAAAAAAAGCACATGTGCCAGTAGAGTCTGACTCTCGTTATCTAAAGCCTATATAAAGTTATAGAAAAACACACGATGGGTTTCCAAATCCTATAAATGTGTATAATATTACAATTAAAAAAGAGACTGGTTGCTATATAGGCCTACAACTATATAATTACAAGGTTATAATTCGTGGTTATTCATAAAGTAATTAATGTAAATATGTATTGAAATATGTAAATAAAAATCTCGCTCGAGGGTGAGAGAAAAAAAAATAATATTGGTAGTGGAATACTCAATTTTGTATAAGAATTATTTACGATTAAAATAGGGAATTAAACAAAATATGAAAAGTGGTCAAACTTTGAGAAAAAAAATTGTACGTATACCCGTCTTAGTGGATTGTAATATGGTGTAAAATAAACTTTCTTCGCCTAGTGGAACCGTTTTAATGATTTGTATTACAAAAATAAATTTAATCTCGATGCTTAAAATCTATTTTTCAATATTCTATGACTATGGCAACTTCACCAGTTGTTTATTAACCTCGTTTACTGATGTTAATAAATAATTTTGTGACACTATCAGTATGATGGCAAAGACGATTATTATGATATAAAACAAATCAACTTTCATTATTAGGGCGTGGGAGCTTGAAATTAGGCCTCACAAAAGATGTTGTATTGCCCTTGCGACCAACCCAAAAATCTTGAAATGTATTATGTACGGTCGTCTTTTTAAAAAAGTTTTTTTAATTTTTTTATTAACGTATAAAAAAAGAAGTTTAATGCATAAAAAAATATGTATTAAAGCATTAAAAACTGAGACATATCAGTGCAAAGAGGGACCAAGAAAAAAAGATTTCTGACCGACCGATCGACCGACCGATGTTTTGGCACCTAAAAGTCAATACAACATATTTTTTTTAGGCCTAAGTTAAGAATGGGCCCCGCCCACCCTCCCTTTAAAGACCGCGCCTGGTAACATTACTTTTCACCCCTTCCCATTATATTATATGCACTCCACCAAACCCCTCATCCAACCTGACCCCCCTATGCAGTGCGTCAGAAGTGGAACAGTCCAGTCTCCAGTCTGTCAGGCCCTGTCAACTACTCGCCGGAGGGTAGGCATTCCCCGACATTTCTGAGGGATTCTCAAGAGACAAATTAGCGGACTTTGGAACACAATTTCTCCATTACACCGCGATGACGTTTCGCCCCGGCCCCCGCGGCGAATACAAAAAATAGAAAGAAACAAGAAAGAAAGGAGAAACTTTCGCGAGAATTTTTTTTTTTTTACATTTTTCAGCTCTATTTACAGCCACATTATTTTTAGATTGTTGTTTTTTAGATGAATTTGTTTCCCACACTTAAAGAAGATAAACGATTTTGACGAGTTTGTCCTGGGTTGGAGCCCAGATAATTTTGCGATCATACCTTGGGTACTATAATCATTAATCGTCTTAATTTCGTAGATACAGTCTGCGCCTGGAACTTTTAAAGAATTTGTACCAAAATATTATTGTTAAACCCATCGAGAAAAATATTAGATACGTGTTTATGAATGGTATGTACTCATTATTCATTACTGCACCGATGGTACATGATTCTACGGAACATCGGTTGAAGTAGTCTTCACAGTTAAGAGGGTAAACAAAGGTATTCATGTAGCACCTCAATAGCACTTTAGCAGTGATTATTCTAAAATGCACAAAGTGGGACGTCTCCATGTGTAAAAGATCCGTGGATGTTTGTGGGTCATTATGTAAAAAAGCTAACTAGCTTAAAGGTAAAGACCAGTTATGGTCATGCGATTGCATTGTGAAAGAAGCGTTGTGGAATCGATCAGAAAAGGTTGATCATCTAGCATCTAGCATCTGCAAGGTTCTGGAATCATCAAAATGATAAGAAATTTGGTCCATTCTTCGTAAAGTTACAAGCACTATACACAGAAAGATGTATATGGGACTACCCTATATCTCTCACAGACCATGAGAGAAACAAATTTACCAAATATATGAATTAGTAGGCGGTTTCCCGGCAAATTTTTTGTCATCATGTATTAGTCAAAACATATTCTTTTACATGATTGGTAATGAGAGCTTCCATTTCATTTTTTTGAAATTGGGGCGTTTCCAATACTGGTCTTTACCTTAAACATAAACATGAACGTAACATAAACGCGGCGGCTATTTTGCAGCGATTTACCATTATCATTCCCTATATCTGAGCTAGGTCCATGATCTGAGCATGGAGTATTAGGTCCATGATCTGAGCATGAACCTAAATGATCTGAGCAAGCTGTTTGAAATGCTGTCAGAATTATGGTTCAGCAGACAAGAGCGGTCTGAAAAGCAAAGACTAGTCAAAGTGCGCGCGTGCACCCTGGAGAAATTTCACCTGTTGCCAAGTCGTAACTGGCGCGTTGCATTGACTCAAACCGGTTTGTTTGCCGTTGTTTCCAATCATATCCAATAAATTTCTCGTTTGTTGGCATTCGTTGTATTCCTTTGACAGAAATTGAAGACAAGATTGTTTGAGAAATGGCGATGTCAGAGTTTGTATAAGAATTAGAAAGAGGAGAGTTTGTCTTGGCCCGTGTTTACTTTATACGGGGAGACTGATTGTGTTTGACAGGCTTGGGATGAGAGATGAAAAATGAAAGATGTAAGATGAAAGATGAAAGAGAGAGAGAGAGAGAGCGAGAGAGAGAGAGAGAGAGAGAGAGAGAGAGAGAGAGAGAGAGAGAGAGAGGGTGAGAGGGGATGATGAACATGATGAAGAGAGGGAATATGGGAGATTATAATTCAAGGAAAAGAGAGACAGAGAGACAGAGACAGACAGACAGACAGAAAAGGGAGAGGGAAGAAAGAATGGAAGGTTAGAGTATGGAACAAGTAATAGGACAGGAACACAAAATGTAGAAGGATAAAAGGAATACAAAAAAAAAATTAGAATTGAGGGGCCTTGTAACAGGTGCTTTCAATGATATTATGACACAAGACATATCAGTAGTACGATTGATGGAAAGATTAATGTAAACATTAAGAACCATAATAAAAGGAATTGAATTGAGCAACTTGGTAAAAGATCGAAGGAAATAAGAATCAAATCCGAGGGATTAATGCCTCAGGGCACTAGCGCATCGACTTGGTTTCGAACCCGGCGGCCACCGGTCACGAGACCACTGCTCTATCACTGAGCCATCAAACCCCATTCACTGTGATTGTGTAATAAAAGCTTAGGCCTGCGTTTTATGGATATATCAATATCCATGTTTTCTTTTTCTAAACTTTAATTATTAGTGATGGTTATATTACCTGATTGCTTAGAAATCATAAATGCTTGTCAGTAAGCAACCAACTTTTTCCTTACCCTTCTACGCAAATAGGCCATTTTCGTAATGTAACCAAATGTAATGCAAACGTCTTTGTGAAGGGCCTCAATACAAATGACTTCATTAACCCGTTACAAATAGTTGTCTCTCAATAGTCAGAATGCGAATTGCACACAGTATTTGTTGCTAGGTACATCAAGAAAATGGCCTATTTTTCCTCAGGGACATTAATGATAGGAAAGACGAGGTTGGGGCTATTGTCCCCGTCATATCAGTTTCATTGATTTTTTTCCTTCATATTTCACATTCACATTCATTATAATATCATAAGCATTAAAATGAAGAATTAAAACAATTGTTCTTTCAATAGGTGTAAAATGATATCAGGCCATGAAGTAATAATACAGTCGCAATAACACACGGAGATATTATTACAATTATTGCGTGGGATTTAAACTTTTATTAGACAGATATTATATACGTGAAATATAGGGAAATCTAGTAAAAAGCTTAGCTTGTAAATTGTAGATTCACTCGTACAAATAAGAACAGTCTATTGATGGAGCTATAGAGCATGTAGATTATGTTCAATACAAATTAAATGAAAAGATTTAGAAGATACATATCGCTTTCAAAGAGAAGCTTTCTCATTCGTGTTCTAATTTACTCATTTAATTTCTGGATGTGAACGAAAACAACGGTAGCATTATCATTGTCATATTAAAACATTCGCCTTTAAAATGCTTTAATCATTATAGTCTAATATTTGTAAATTGACAGGCAAACTATGAAATGAGGTCGCCATCAGGTTTAAGCTTCAGCTCAAGATGGCGGGTCTCCAGCAAGTGATTTTCTGAAAGGTATGATTATTTAATTGATTTATATTATGATATGATATGATATACATATTTTAGACGTTTGTTCATAATATATAAGCCAATGTTCTAAGTTTGAATCTTACTTCTTAATATGTTGAAAATTGAGAAATCGAGTTAAATAAAGAAACAAATAGTAAAGATTTAGATCAGATTTACGATGCCCCATAGCCCCACGCCTACCAGTGTACAGTGCTTTTCATTGTTTAATTTCATATTAAACATTAAAAAAAGGTGTATAACGTCTGGAATTTATTTCTTGTTTCATGAAAGAAATATATTTTGATTGACCAGTGTAGCCTAAAACATTTTCCTGGAAACAAACAAACTCAGATCGTATACCACAATTAATATCTTCCTCTTTTCCTCACTGCTTTTCACATGTTGAGAAATTCTGCAAAAGTACGACAGCATCCTTCTCTTTTCCTGCAAAGGATGAAATAGACTGACATCTTGTCTCGTCTTTGGTTTTCAGTTGAAGACCTACTTGTAATTGTCAACTTGGCTGATTGACAACCGTAATAGTGCCTTTCTTTTGTGGATTTTGTTTAAAGGGAAAACTATCTTTCCTTTGCATGAATAGGGGACTAAACTGTCAATCAATCTCACGTAGTAGGGGGAACTATGTACACAATTTACGAGTATTGTTACAGGAATAATAGGCAGGGCGATTCCTGACTGCGACCGTACAATGCGAATGTCAATTGAGGCGGAGGTTCTATTGTGCGCGCGTATTGAATGCTGTGTCTCTCCGTGCAGACGACAGCCTTGTCGCGATCACCTTGCTCGATCACTCATTTTGTGCGCCACTGTGATTTGACTGCGGAACAGGTGAACACCATCACGGATTCGTCACCGCTGGAAAGTTGCAGACTTTGAACGTTTCCGTGTTTTGAAACACAGTGCTCCAAGAGTTGAGTTTCGTGGTGGAACTGCAGTTTCCATGCCTGAAATTTGGTGAGGAATCAATTACTGTGCTTTAATTTGATTTAGTTTGAGACACATCTCGTCGTCATCATGATTGAGCGAGTGTTGGTGGTGTTGCTAGCTTTCGCTGCATCGTCGCCGGGAGTTTGGGGGCAGGAGACGGAGACAGACATGGCAATGCTCGGGGTGAACTCCCGTACGTACCCGCTAGACCTCAGCGGCCGTCCCAAGGAGACAGACTGCGTAGACATCCCCGAGGACCTCAGCCTGTGTCAGAACATCGGATACACTCGTATGCGAATGCCGAATCTTCTGGAGCACGATTCCCTAGATGAGGTTAGAAACCAAGCTAAAAGTTGGGTCCCTCTTCTTCTTCAACGATGCCACGAAGGCACACAGCTCTTCCTGTGCACGCTTTTCGCTCCGGTCTGCTTGGAGGTGGACCGCCCCATTTACCCGTGCCGGTCGCTTTGCGAGGAGGTGCAAGCCGGGTGTGGGCCACTGATGGAGTCGAACTGTTTCCCCTGGCCAGCTATGCTTCAGTGTGATAAGTTCCCAGAGGACAACGATCTCTGCATCAGGCTCAACATGAGGAATCAGAACGGGACAGTGGAGGCGCAGCCTTTCGAAATGTCAGCAGGTACGGCACACACTGGTAAAATTCAAAACCCATTTTATAATTAATTAACCTCAATTTGTTTGCACCCTAGGGGCGTAGCCCGCCACTAGGCCCCTAGATCGCACCTGAGTCGGAAGATGCCCACACATCTCCCGATTGCACAGTAATACTAATAATTTTGTTCCATTGTATTAGTAGTGATGTTCCAGAAAACACTCCCTTCTCTCCTCATGTTCTATCGTTCTCTCCATTTCACACTTTGTCTATCCTTTTCTCCAAGTTTCCACTACCATTCTCTCCTGTATCCCCCGTCTTTTCTCCCTTTGCTTACTTATACCAGGGACTTGATAGTCCCTGCTTATACAAGAGAAGGCCAACAAGACTATAATAGCAGTATAGATCTACTCTTGATGGTGATGATTCAGGCAAAAGTTTAGAGCAGTAACTTTTACCAAATTTAGACAAGTATTATGTTCTTGCATAGCATCATATCAATATGATATGAAGGGTCTATTTGTTTTCAAATCATGCAAAAGGCTTTTAAAAAAATACCACCAACTATTTCAGCTGTTCAGTCAGCTTTTTCAAACGCACACTGCATTTTGAGGAATAAAACTTTCCAGGTACTTTCTTTCTACACCTCAGTGGAGAGCAGCAAATGTAAAATAATGTCTCAACAAGGATTCCGCTTGAGGTAATAAGATATGCTTCCTGTGGATGGCATTTAAAACTCGGTCAAGTTTTATTATCTCCTGGTATTATGGTATTTTATATAAATTATACTAGAAAGTATATTGTATAGACAGGAAAGAGAAACAGGTGGTACGCTGAGCGAGTAGCGATGTGTTGTCTATAAATGTCGAATAGCAGATTAATTTCAGATCTCAAAAGAGGATATGAAGGAGAAAGATAGGTATAGAAAGAGAGAGAGAGAGGAGGGGAGAGGAGAGGAGGAGGGTGAGATCGAATTAAAAAGAGAGTAAATGTTTATGGGAGATGGAAAAGCAGAGAGAAGACCAAGGATGGAGGGAGTTAAGGAAACAGATAATTATATAGAGATAGAGAGCGGGAGGGGGGGGGGGGGTAAAAAGACAGAGAGGAAGATCATGCTGTATTCATTTCAAACGTGATGTTTTCAATCTCTTCTCCTTTATGTTATTCGCTTTTGACCTCCACGCACAATATCCTTCCCGCCTCTTTTGTTACCCCCAAAAGATCATCTCCATTCAAGATGACGACAGGTGAAAAATGAGTATCGGTCCGTGAATGAGGATCAGACGTGATTACCTGTACGAGTAATCGGTGGCGTAGTTTAGGGGTGGGGTAGGGGCACATGCCCCATCGAATGACGATTACTGGAACAGAGGAGTCAAGAGAGAGAGAGAGAGAGAGAGAGAGAGAGAATGTACTAAAATGTGGATGTATAATTGAATATAGCACCTAAACCAGGTATTACTACTCCTTCTGCTATCATCTTTGTACCGATTGCATATAGTTCACTTCATTCATATTGTTTTTATCCTTGGGGCCCTTTTAATTTCAATATTGTACAAATACATTACATATATAAATGGAGAGAGAGAGAGAGAGAGAGAGGGGGAAAAGGGGAGGGGGGGGGGGGGTGCGAGGGGGCTGTTGAAGATGATGTTTCGAACCCGCCGCTTACTCGATGCCCATTTCTCTTGTATTAAACACCTTCTACAAAACCGGCGCCACCCCCATTACACCAATGCCCCTTCATGGCTTCATCTAGGCTACGCCACTGGTATATTTAGTCAATCATCACATATTCTTCTTCTCTGCATAGTGCCAAGAAAAATTGGAAAACCAGACACTAAAGTATTCAGAACAATCTGTACGAACACTGGGCGATGATTTGCTGCCCGCCCGAAACCATATATGAAAACTTGATTTGTATGGCTACATGTAGTTTATCCCCCCACCTTGATTTATGTTAAAGCGCTTGCATTGAGAGAGACCCTTTCTCAAAGGTATAATGAATTATTCGAGATTGATGTATTCTCATTATGATTGTACCGGGTCCTTGGGGCGAGATGTTTTTCTAACTAAAAAGGCTTCTCTGTCAAAAACGACAAGTAAATACATTATTGATTAAAAGCTGTACACAAAATAGGTCGAGTTTTGATATACGACGTCTTTAAATTAGTGACAAGGTGAACGCATAGATCTAGGTTTTCTTGTGTCTGTTGTAAGCAATTTATTTTCTTTTTAAGTAGGTCTCTTATAATTTCTGTCACGCTTTGTAAGGTAATGTGATAAATTCAGAAAAGTAGGACAAATCGTGATTGGGGACTCAGGGATATTCAAAATTGTTATATTTGATGCCTTGCACCGTCTGCCTTTTGATTGAATAATGATCTTTCTCCTCGTTTATTTCATGATTCGGAGAGCTTTTAATGATGATTAAAGAGTAATTCATTCCAAAAAGTTTCTATTAGGGCTACGCACGGGCAGCCTCGAGAAAGATTAAGTTTATTTCTCGGCCCTGTTTCATAATTTTTCTAAACAATAACAAGTTTTAACAAAAAATGAAATTGTGGCATATGATTGGCTGAGAGCAAATTTGTCATGCAAATTTAGCAATGATTATGAAACAGGGCGCTGGTCATGCAATAAGATTGTGAAAGACTCGGACTGCCTTGAGCAGTTGGGAAAGGTTAATTGATAGTAGCTCACGATTGATGTATACTGTGGTATTTTGGAATGATAGAAATTAAAAGTAATTGACTCAATGTTGATCAAGATCGCATGCAATGCACACACCATACATGGGTCATTGGAAAAAGGACATCACAGACACACAAAACATTCATTCCAAATGTTAAGGCCTTGTCATAAATATTGAGAACAGTAGGGCAGCGTACGTCCCTCTGAGACTCGAGACACATTAGGATTCTGTGATATTCTTCAAAACTGAAGGAAACAAAATATACAAAGAATGAGTAAGCTCACTAATTATTAAATTTTCACCTTAACTAGAACTCAATGCCTGCTTTGGCATACATTAATTCACCTTTGGGTCCTTGGGACCTGAACTTCGTGCGATCATAGTGATGGATGCGAGTTGCGTGGTGTTGATACATCATTTCATAATTATATTCAAGGTTTATTTGTGTTCGCGTCATCAGGTGGTGTGTTCACACTAGATCAGGTGATGCGTCACACTAGATCACGTGACCGGCGTACCTTTTATTTTAGTCTCCACGGCCTCTTTGTGAGGGGATATAAGGGATTGATTCAATATTTATACCGTACACCTGCTATGTACCCAACATAGCTTCTTAGGCTACGACTTAATTGAGTTGACGGATGCATTGTTTGACCTTGAGAATATTATAAGATAGTGCTTTGATTTGTTTGGTCTATATTAGGAAATCAAGTGATTTGTGCGTTACGTGTAGGAAGAATACACACTTGTTACCTCATTAGATCGACGCACTTAATTTAACTAAACACTATATATTGTTCATGGATTTTTAAGCGCAATAACAATTGTTTCAGTCTAATCCCTCCTGACCAAACTAGTGCAGATAGGCTTTAAATTATGATATTTAGAAATGGATCTAAACATCATTTATACTACATGATGTACAATGTTTTTACACACTTGAACGTTTCTCCTGTGTTTGGTTTGATCATGGATATGTCATCTTTCGATTGTGAATTAAACAGTACACATGGGGCGTTATTTCCATGTGCTTCACGCGAAGTATGAGTAAGCGAAACCTGTTTTCTACAGAATAATGATTGAAAGATGTCATTACTTCTTTTTTTTCTTTTTTTTACAATTTTACTACATCACAGCCGTGTTGCGTTGACTCCCGAGCGGTTTCGAATATTCGACACCCTTTCGTTCAAAACTAAATGAAATTAGTGCCCACATTTGGGGACAAGAGAATAGCCAGAGCAGTAGAAGGTCCATGGTCACTTGACTCTTCATCCAAGGGTTGAGGGTTCGAATCCCAGCTCGGCACTAACGTCCATTGGCAAGACAATAATCCACATTATTTTGCCACCTCCCTTTCACCCCTCGTGTAAAAAAGGTCCTCGGGAGAACAGCACTGATGCTGATGCTGCATCCTTTGGTAGACAAAATAATAATAAAAGTTAGGTTGGGAGTGGTCTCCTAAATCGAAGATAAATTACATGAATTAGATCAGTGCATAGATGTATGTTTATTTTATTTCGTCAGGAGAGAACATATTTTGCAAAATTTGATCTTTTTAGATGCTGCTTAACAGTATCGGCTTGCATGGTGATGTACAATTATACAGGACTACACACACACACACACACACACACCCTCAAGAAAGAAAGATTACCGCCAGTCCTTTTCAGGACTCCCCAATCCCCACTCTCTCACATGGTGCAACCGTAAGCCTACTGTATATAATATATGTTGTTGGTGGTGGTGTGGGTGTGTGTTGTGTGTGTGCGGAGGGGTTGTCCCCTAGTAGGCCCTGTCATAATTTTTTGGCGACGTCCTCGGTCTGATGGTCTGAGACTAGGAGAGTGTGACAGTATTTATGCTTCGCCTCTTGTTGGAGTGGAAGCAGGAAGACATGTCTCTCTTTGAAATCATTCAATTATTTTTCCCGCAGAACTTCTCTGTCATATAATGTCTAGCCTTATTTTCAGATCTTTGTATTGTTCCGATGTTACTAATTGAGGGTCTAGCGCGCGAGCCGTCATGATTACGGTTCTCTCGCCGGCTCAGGGGAAACGTGTCGAAACAGATGCACATGAATGTATCATTGGCAACATGCATTTTGTTCATCCTGACGAATCAGACCAATGAAATCCTTGAGAGTTAAAATCATGTTCAGACAATTCCCAACATAAAGTCATCCTGTCAGAAGCGACCAGACAACTCGGTGAGCCTCTGATGTCATCCGCCGCGCCGAGAGTTCGGGGGGAAGAGTCTGTTGGCAAATAGTCAAACCACTCAGGGCTCTTTTGGACGCAATGAACAAGAGTTGACCAGTTGAGTGGCGGACTAGATGGACAGCTGAGTA